TGACCTTGGCGTTAGTCACCAACGACACAAACAAACAACGTCAGTCTTTCGCAAAAAAATCCTCTGAATTTCTAGTTCTATGATTTCGCATACCATACGAGCGGACATTTTGCTCCTTGACACAAAACATGTTAAACCATCAAATAAGGTGTACATACATGAACATGTTAAGTAACAATACTAAGAAATTATAGGTAAGGTCGAGCAAGTAAAGAAATTTGTAGTACCTGTGAAGGATCCGCGGTCTTATAAATTCCTGACATGATTCCAACTCGACTTTGGAATGCAACAAGTTTTTACTTTTCGTATCAAGTTTGGCAACTTGCAAAACTTAGGCGTTTCCCGATAATATTCCATTAGCACCTCATGAAGGACTCGGTCTCTAGGTAATACTGGAGCGATAATTTTAGATCATTCATGACTTGGACTTACGACAACAGAATGAATTTTTACAAAAATAAAAAACAACACTATCGTACCGTAAGAGGTGTCTGGCCGTCTTTGTTCTTAATGTAAATGTTTGCTCCCCAACTGACTAACAACCTAACACAATTTTGACATCAATAGATCCTCTGAAATTCATATCAATGTTTTCTGTTTTATTGCATCACTGTAGGTTATCCATGTATTCGCCGAGAGGATAGAAAGGCGTTTCTCTTTTCACTCTACAACATCAATGGGCATCATCCAGTCAATTTCACTGTGAAATACAACAATACAAACAACCTTTACCTCTGACCTCATTTGCAAAACCTGACACCTATCAAATTCCTCCTGGTTGCGCCAAAAAACAGAAATGCAATTTCTCTACTGGCACCGTTGACTTCCACTTACTAGATGTGGAAGTATTTAGTAGAACAAAGGAAGGCTAATATATCAAACCGATAAATCACGGTAAGGTTTCATGGCGACCACAATTTCAATTTTGAAGCATCGTTGTGTCTATCACTTAGTAAAGTCTTAGTCTGGTGTGTTCCTTAGAGATGTCTGTTTTCACGTTGACTTCCTAGTGCTGAAATAATCAGTAATGTACAGCAAGTAATGCCAATAGCTGATATTTAGGTCAAGGAAGTGAAATGGTTGAAGAAGG